GGATATTTCTAAGGTGGATTTTTTACAAACATTGCGATTAAATTATCAATATGGATAATGATGTTGTTTAATACTTAATCTGCAAAAGTAATGTGTTTTTAGTGTGAAGTAAACATTTCATGGTTTATTTCTAAAAATTTTTAAACAGCATCTAATTTCAGAAAATGGAATGGAGGTTCTTTGGCATCTAGGACCTAGGTAGAGGGGAAAGACATTTTATATCAGTATCATGACATCTTTAATACTCAGCAATACTAATATGATAACAGCCATTCCTTTAGTCTCAAGATTTCCATTTTAAAGACTTACTGTTTATTTTCCTTGCCTAGCTCCTTGTTCATTTTAATTTTTCAGGGCTTTGTGCATGACTTGAATTCTATTAAGTACCAAATGATTTCCCACATATCTAAGTTTGGAATCAATGTTTTTTAATGGCCAGAAATTACTCTTCCCCAGAAAAGCGATATAGTAGCAAGGTCCACACAAATGAACTCCATTGTCTTTTTTCCTTGTTGATGACTAACTGTGGCTGCTCTTAGTCCCCAGGTACAACTAGGGGTGGGGGTTGGTGGAGGGATTATAATGCATGACTGGCAATAGCTTTCCTGTGTGCGGCTCAGAAAGTGGTAGTGGATTGAGTGTCCTGTCTTAAGGATCTGTCAGTATATGTGTGAGAGCACTACTTAATGTAGTTTCCAAAAAAATGTTTGATAGATTTTTCCTGGCTTGAGATGGTTGATATTTAGGATATATTTATTGTCTTTATGTCTCTAACTACTCTGCCAAACAGACTGTATTCACCGTACTCTGTGAAGTTACTTTGTAAAGAAGCTCCTAAATGAAATAAGTGAACTGGTCTGAACCAGTTCTGATGTAATGCCCCTTCCAGGAAGATTCTAGGACTTTGGGGGTGGTGATGGTGCTTGTTTCTGGTTCCATTGCAAAACATGACACACTTGGGTAGACTTAATACAAGTGGACATGATTATGCAGCTCTGTTCCACATCATTAGTGAGAGTAGATGCCTCTGCCAGAATTCTGCCAACACTGTTTCTAGCCAGACATCCATTAGTAAACACTGCACTCTTAAAATATAGGTTGGCTTCTGTGGCTGGCTTGTGTGTATAATAGAAATGAGGTCCAGATTTTTAAAAGTATCAGTCAACATGGATAAGCATAGAAGTGCTGTTTTCCAAGAGAGGTAGTTAAAAATTTGGGACATCCAGAACAGAAATTTGGCACAGGTCTGTTTAATTTCTTATATTAATTTGAAGTGTTCTTAATTAAAAATATACAAACATTTCTTTTTCTGTGTAATGATAATTAAGGAGCTAATTCCCTAGTTCTAACTCTGCCTTTTCCAGTAGTGCTCAATTTGCTTTCTTCATAGAGTTCAGCACAAATTAAAATATCTTACCTGAGTAGTTGATTTTTCCAAGTGGGTATTTCCACCAAATTGAGAGGACTAAGTTGAAATGCACAATATAAATAAGTGTAGTATTTCCCATCTTCTTAAAAATAACAATTCTTTTAGTTAGTATACACTTCTCAGTTTTAGAAACATGCCACCTCGTGTTCTGTCTTTGATCCTAATGGCCCAATGAGGTAGAAAGGGAAGATGACATCTATTCTTTACAAGTGAGAAAGTAAGTTCAGGAATTAAGAACTTGGCCAAGGTCACAAATAAATTAGACTGCCTTTAAGAAGCAGTCTGAAATTCTATGTTAGTATTTTCTTAGAATTCCTTGTTGATGCAAGAGAAACTGCCAGTTAGGTGGAAGGGTTCCAGACTCTGTAATCTGGACACAGGCCATTTAATCTCAGCTGGCTCTGAGTTCTCCAGGCTTGTTGGACCTCAGTAGTGAGAGCTGCCTCTTCAACTTACAGAAGGAAAGGATTTTAACCTTAAAAGATTCACTTTTCCTTTGCAAGTAGTAAGAAATCACAAAGTCTTATCAGAAAGTCAATGAGATAAGAAATTGTTGAGACTATTTCATAAACCAGTTGTACTTGATGTGGTTGCAAAAGTAAAATGCATTGCCCTCTAAAATGAGGAACAAATACACAGGGTGGAAATTGCAGCGATCAGCTTAAGCAATGACACATTTGGCAGGCATTTGTAAATAATAAGATATAAAACTTGCTGAGTCTCTTTCCCTAGAAAACCCCTGTGAACCTCCCTATGTTTTTTTTTTGTTTTGTTTTGTTTGTGTTACAGTCATCACAACAGTCCAACTGAGCGCCTCAATAGGAATTATCAGACCATTTTATCTAGGGAAGTGCTGGGGATGCAGAGATCGCTGGGTGGTCCACTGTCACATCGAGAGCCATCAGAAGAGTCTAACTTCAGGACTAATTTCTCCTCAATGATTTGGTTGTCACGAGTAAGTGGCTTGCTTGAGGAAAGAAAAATATTCGGATAATGACAGTTATTTATGACATTCTTATCAAATATGCAGCTGTTGAAGACAAAGTGCTGGTCCAAACTTTATCCCTGACTCCACATGTCTCTGCATGTCTCTCCTCCAAGTCTCCTTCCCAGCAGTACCAGAGGGCAAATCAGGCTGCAGAAGCAAGAGAGGTAGGTGTGCCTGCCTTCCATGTTATATCGGGGCTGCTTAACTTTGTCACTAGATCTCGTTAGCTCCCCAGGTCAGGAAGTCTGGTTCATGGTATACGAAGGTGCTGCATGTATGTAGGGGCAGGGAAAATGGTCTCTGTTCAGTAGTCTGCAATGCTCATACCCTTTTCACAAAAATGCCTCTACACATAAGTAGTCTGAGAGTTGTACAAGTTACTTAGACAGACTGGGCCTCAATATCCTTGGAGATATGAAACAGTTCAAGTAGATCAGTAGCTCAGGAGTTTTCTCTTTTTTGAAGGCAAGTCTTAATGTTTTAAACATGTTTTAGGTATATTTTAATGATTTAATTGATAAAGTTGGGCTGCATACAATCCCACCTCCTACTTGACTCTTCCTTACTGCCTGCTGGATTTCCCGGAAAAAGTCTAAAAACTATAGTATTAGGAAATTTGAAAGCTCCTTCCCATTCAAGCAACTGCCTTTCTAATCTGCTATTTGCTCAAAACCCTTACACAACTTGGTGGTATAAAAGAGCCCCAGACTTAGAGTCAGAAGAGGCATGTGTGGATCCCTGCCCTACCCACCATCTATGTCACCTTCATCAAGTTCCTTCACTTCTCTCTGTCTCTATTTTCTCATCTGAAAAATGAAGCTAGTAACCTTTCCTGGATAAAAGTACTTTGTAAACTCAAAGTCATTGGATAAATGTACAGTGACATAGTACTATCTTTGGTGCACAATACCCTTCTGCAGGGAGATGGCTTTCTCCTCAAAATGATTGGCGTATCAGCACAGGACAAGTTGCTTGTTAACAAGTGTGTCAAGAGGTAGAGTATCTATCATATTTGGTCTTCATCTTTCTTGAGAGACAAAGGTCAAGTAAGTAGAGAAGTTGTGAGATCTCAGGAAAGCAAATATTTAAGCCAAGAAGGCCGCCTTGTTGAGTTTAAAAGAAAGACATATCCCCACCATTTGACCTCATAATGACCCAGTCGTACTTCCCCCTCCACACAAATCCATGGCCCAATAATAATGTCATTCATCTAGTGTTTACTACGCTAGGTAGTATCTTTCCATGAGTAGCTCATTTAAATTTCACAAGAACATTTTGTAATGGTGTCATCTTTTTTTTTTTAACGAGAACAAGTGTATAATAGGGTATAGTTCCTATTTTGTAGCTTAGAAAGACTAATTTTCTCAGGTTCATATAATTAGCAACTGGCAGAGACTAGACTCTGGATCTGTGGTGGAGGACTGTGGGTACCTCGGTGGGGGTTGTGTGACAGAGACTAACGTGAAGGGGAAGACCCTATACTTCCAGAATTCTAACAATGACGTAAATCAGTGGTCCTTCAATTTAAAAAAAGTATTAAAAAAAAAAAAACCTCTTAACTGCATGGATTTGCATCTTCCAGTTGGAAAAATTTCTTTTTGTCACTCAAGATAGGGGTCCAAAGAGCCCACTCCTCTCCTCTGCAGTGCTTGAATCAGCTCTATCTTTTCATTTTTTTATCATTTTTTAACTTCTTCCTCCATTCAAATGTGCTTCATTCATCTTCATAAAACTCAGAGGTCAAAAGCACCTATGAGTCCTTGATGTCCCCCTTTGTCCTCTGTTACCTGTTTTTTGCTCGAGAGATAGCGATGGAGTCACCACTCTTACCTCAGGGAGTTGGTCCCATAACTAATTCATCTCTGTCAGGGAGATTTTTCTCTTACTCATCCTACCCTCCTCTTCAGTTTTGTGTCTTACCCACTTCTTTCTCTTGGTGTGGGCTGCACACTTGAGCGCCTCAGCTCACATTGCCTAGGCCTGCTGGGGGGGGGGCGGTTCTTAGCAGTGATTTTGCTTATCTGCCCTTTGCCCTCTCACCACAACCAGAGTAACTTTATTATTGGCACCTGGGAGGTGTTTCCCCAGTGGACGCAGTGGTGAGCTTCAGGTGATGCTGAGAAAGCAATTGAGGAGGAGGAGGCGTGAGCATGAGGTATGGAACCTGCAGAGTTGGCAAACTTGCAGCCAGCTCAGTTTTGGACATTTCTTTTAGGTGACCCCTTCATGGGCAGAAGAATCATTTTGTCTAACTGGGCATAATGCCATGGGGTGCTACTCCAGGGCACTTAACCTGGGATCGGGAATTGCAGGAATAAATGGAGCGCATCCTCACAAGGAAGACAGTGTAATGTATGGAAAGTGTATCAGCTCTGGAATTGGAAAAATCTAGTTTAAGTCGTTGCTCCACTTTTTACACAGCTGTGTGGCTTTCGCCAGTCATTTTATCGCCTGAGCTTGTTTACTCCTTTGTAAAATAGGGACACAATGCCTATATCTATCATTTCTATAGGGATTATAGACACACTCAATTAGTGAAGACTCTTATTTTTCAAAGCCCTAATTCACAATTATTTGCCTTACCAACTTCCTCATTGCCTTGTATCCTATTTGGAATCTCCAGGCAACTCTTCTCCTCTCTTCTTCCATTTTCTCTGTGCTGTAAACAAGCCCAGGGCAGTCTCGGAATCTTGTTTCATGTCTAGCATCAGCAATTCCATGCAATTCACCAGTGTCTGGAAAGCAGAACTCAGATGTTAGCTGTCAGGTCCAAATCAGCATTACGTTTGCTTTTCAGTTTTTCCATTGATCCTTTTCATTGCCTTGCCAAGTGGACGGAGGGCCTATTTGCCATCTTCGATATAAGCTTTATACATGTGTTGACAATTTCTCATTTCTATCCAGGAGCCATTCCATGAGCATGAGTATGGGCAGTAGTACTTCAATATACAAATAGAACTAAACTTGAACAAAATATTTCATTAAAACACTCTTTTCAAATGAAAGCATGTGACCATTTTCAGTCAAAAGGAAACATCGTTCTTCTCATTGGCTGACATCTACTATTTAACGAATATTTTAAAAGAGTTTGCAAAGTACAGAAGACCTTGTAGCTGTTAGGATACTCTGATGTGGTGGAGAGGGGGGGTCATTGAAACAAATAACACAATAAACAAATAAAAATACAAAGAAAATTAATTTTTAAAAATGATGCTTGCAATGAAGGAAAAAGTGAAATAATAGTGACTAGAGAGGTTATTTTATTTATATTTTTACCTTAATTATGTATTTATTTTTACCTTAATTAAAACATGAAAATAATTGATGCATGTAATTTTAAAAATCAAATACCACCCCCCAAAGTCTAATGAATAGGTCGAGTGGGGGGAAGGCTTCTCTGAGGAGCAGATAATCAAAATGAGCCCTAAACTCTGAGTAGATAGCTCTAAGAAGGCCTGGGGAAAAATATACCAGGCAGAGGAAACGTCCATTCAAAGGCACTAAATCCACAGAAGCTTCATGAATAGGTGTATTGAACAAAGGGGTGGGAGGGAGGTGATAAGGTTGTAGAGGCAGGCAAGAGGTCAAATCTTGTGGGATCTTACCAGGTATGGTAAGACTACTGACTCTATTCCAGTTACAAAAATAGAGGCCATATCCAGGTTTGGATTACTCAAGAAGAGATATGTACTGATTTCTATGTTCAAAAGCTGATTCTATCTTCTGGATAGAAGATGGAGTACAGAGGAGCAACACTGAAACAGTTAGGTAGCTTTTGTAATAATCCAGATGACTAGTGATGGTGGCTTGGAATGTGATGACAATAGCAAAGATGGTGAAATTCAAGATTTATTTTAGAAGACTTTTTTCAAAATTCCCAGAACTTGCTGAATAGGATTTGAGGAGTGAGGTAAAACAAGAATTAAAATCAGTGGGTTTCAGCTTAAATTCCTGGGCATATGGTAGTGACACTTATTGAGACAGAGAGATTGGAAGTAGAAAATGTGTTGGAGATTTGGTTTTTATTTGGATATGTTCAGTGTGATAGACCTATGAGATAGTCATGTGGAGATGAAAGACCAACTTGCTTGACTATTACATGATGCTTCCACTCTCCCATCTCACAAAGCACAAGAAACTGGTTGACCGGGTTAGAGATCCGCAAGAAAAGGGATCATACACTCATGCCAGTTCTAAGTACCTCTGGAATTAATTTGCAATTTTTCCCAGGAGTTGATTCAAGGGCTGGTGAGGGGGGCGAGGAGGGAAGATGGAGGGGTGGTGGGCATTCCTTGGACACCTATATATTACAAGTTCTTATATTCTAAACGTGTTTGGATAGCTGTGGTCAGTAGAAGAGGTAGTTACCCAGAACAGGGAACCTGCATCCCCATTTGGCATGTAGATAAATTATGGCATGACATAAAGAAATAGTAACTTATTTGGAAAATGCTTCTTAGATATATACTAAAGAGAAAAGGCTTTATTTTTTCTTTCCCTTTAGATTGTGATTCATAGATTCATAACTCTCAAAATTGGGAGACTCTCAAAGAACAATGGGTTTAGCCCCTGATCTCAGGTATGCCAGGTGTCAAGGTAGCAAACATCTAGAATAATCACACCACTTTTTGTGATAAAGTTTTCTGCCCTTGAGAACTGGGCCTTTCTTAACTTTCTTATTTTACACACAGGTCCTTAAAATCTGTTTCCAGCTTTAAAAAAAATGGGTGTAAGTAATATGAATTTAATATAGACAAAACATTAAAGCAATTTATAATCTACAAATAATTATATTTGTTAACATAGACAGTATATTTATATAACAAAGCACCATCAAATAGGAGTCCTTAGACAAGTCTATTCATGTTGTTAAATATGTATTTTTAAATTGTGATTAAAAAATAAATTCATAGACTATCAAATATTACGCCTTTATTAGGAAATGTTTTGTTAATTAAGATACATTGGCCTACATAAATAAAAATCCTCTCAGAAGAAAAAGTAATAATTTGGTTGAAGAAATTTTCTTTCTTTAAAAAACACACAGCCTAGGGCCTCCCCGGTGGTGCAGCAGGTTGAGCACAACGCTGTGAAGCTGTTCACAGCCTCTGCAGCACAAATTAGATCCCCGGCTGGCCAGGGAGTAACCCACATGGCAAAGCAGACCTCTCCTGTCTTGCCCACTGCTCCCCTCAGTAGTGTGTTTCAGTCAGTCTGACTTCTGTTCCCCGCTCTGTCTCTGGTGAATCCTCTCACCCTCCCACACCTCTGGCCTATCTATTCCCCAACTCTTGTATAAAAATAAATAAATCTTTAAAAAAAAAACAACACAGCACTTTATTATTCTCATCAGCAATGAGTTCTGAAGATGAGAGAGGAGGTCCTTACTTGCCAGCAGTGAGGCGGCTGCACTAAGAGGACGGAGGCCTAGCATAGGAACATTATTTTGACTGGTTTGAATTTCTTCTTGCCCTTGCTGCTCTTGGGGACCTCACCACCTTTCCTTCACATTCCACAGCACCATGTTGCAATGCCTGTAGAAGACCTCCCCACCGCCCAGGGGCTTCTACTTGGCCCCTGGCCAAGAAGTTGATGTGTTCTAGTTTGACTGACTCTGTGACCGTGACGAATGGACCTGTGGTAAACTCTTCCACATCCTGCTTTTGTAGCTCTACAGTTTCTCAAGGATGCACTCACTCCTGGGCGAGTGGTGTGGGGCTGAGCTCTCAGGTCTCTCCCATCTCCACCACCTTGCTTCTGCACAAATTTTCTTGTAAGAAAGACATAAAATTATATGACTTTAAAATGGAGAATTTTAAGAACAATAACTTGAAAAGATATGTGCACCCTTATATTTATAGCATTATTGCAATAGCCAAGACATGGAGCTCAACTTAAATGTCCATCAATGGATAACTGGATAAAGAAGATGTGGAATACTCAACTTATAAAAAGGAAGAAATCTTGCCTTTGGCAACAACTGGATGGAAATTGAGGTAATTATGCTGAGTGAAATAAGTTAGAAAGTGAAAAGACAATTACCAGATGGTTTCACTTATATTGGAATATAAATAAAGCAAATGAAGTAACAAGACACAGCAAAAATAACTCCTAGACTGTGAGAAAAATATGGTGGTTATCCAAGGGGAAGCGGGGGAGGAGGGATGTTTTGGCAGGGTCAAGTTGATATTGTAAATGGCTCTAACACTTTGGTGGTGGGTGAAGTGAGGTATATATACATATCAAGCTGTGAAGTGGCAGGCCTGAAACTTATTTGGTGTTGTAAACTGATGGTATATTAATAAAACTTATTTCTAAAAATGAAGAATTACAAGCATAAAATTATAATCTATAAGTATAAATAGCTAAAATATGCTATATTTCATTTTTATTATATGCTTGATTTCAAGAATGGAAGTGAGGTGGCGGTGGTAGAGGAGAGAAGAGATAAAAGGAAGTCAAAGAAAGAGACAAAAGGGGAAGAGCAAAGAACAAGTGATGACAGAGGAGAAAAAGACTGAAGGAAAAGAGAAGAGAGCGAAAGACACATGCAAAGAAACAGAAAACTAGGCAGGGAAAATAGAAGAGAAAGGGGGGTACGCACAAGACACTGAGGGTAATCAGGGAAATCATTCTTCACACACCAGCAGTTCACTGTGGGCTTCAAGTCTTGTTTTTTCTCATAGTGTCCTTGGAAATATGAAGTAGCTGTTGAACTACTTCTCATAGCCCTTTGATTGGTTTCTCTTGCCGCTCAGCCTTTCTTCCAAAGCACGGATAGTCAAATCAACCTGTCAGAGTAAACGTGTTCTTTGGGCTACTGCGATAGTGACTGCAATGATATTATCTTGGGACCAGAAAGAATCAAGCTAAAGGTCAAGTAGCCCAGAGACCAAATCTTGCCCTGCACCTTTCAGGCTAACAAAGTAATGGCATATTTCAGTGCTTTAGGACCTAGGGCGATTTGTGGTCTCTAGGATGCTTCCTCATATGCAAATTGTGCTTTAAGGTGAAGGCCTTCACCATCCTTTGTCCCCCGCCCCCAACACACACACCTTCATTACATTGGGACCAGTATATAACTCTACTTTTACTGGTTGATGGATATGTTAATTTTTCGGAAGTTCCCTTGAGCCAAGTTTACTACCAAACTGTAATATCACCAGTTATAAATCCCACCCACAATCTCCCCAACATACATTAACCTATTTCCATGACCATCTTCCCTGATGTATAGTTGTAATATATATAATATATTGTGTACGCTGTCGTAGTAGAAATATTATGACATGTTGATTGAAATAAACCAAGGAAGTAGAAATTTTCTAAGTCAAGGAAACAGCCACATCTAATAATAAAACTGAAAAATAATCATCATTGTCTACATCCAGACCTACACCACAAACTAACTGCAGGGAGTATTAATTTCAATCAACTTGCTTACATATCCCATGCTTTTGTGGACTACCTGTCCCATTCCTGAATCAAAAGCTTGAAGGTTTTGTTTGCTGGACCTTTCAAGTTCACAGTAAAGCTTTTTTTTTTTTTTTTTTTTTGTGCACAAAAACTGGCTCAACTCAGCTTGCGTTCTCTGAAAAAATTAGTTCAACTCACATCAATGATTTCTTGCATTTGCACAAGACAACCTGACTCTTATAACTAGACTTGCTTATCAAGAGTTTTTGGAGAATCTCCTTTGTCAGCATTGTTAATGCAGAACAAAGTTGGTGGTAACAGACTGCATTGCCTTTGTTTTAGTTCCTTTAGTCAAGATTAAGAACTGCACCGCATAGAAAAGAATGCACTCCTTGTAGTTTAAATAGCCAACTTCAGAGAAACAACACAACAGATGCCCTCAAGAATTGTAACCTATTTACTCTTCCTTCTACTTCCACCAAAATAGGCTCTGTACTTCATAACCAAATAACATCTACCCCAACACTAATGTAGAAATCAACTATAATTAACCTGTTTTATGACCATCTACTCCCTTTAATCTTACTCTATAACTTCTACATGATTCTTTTAAGCAATTTTATATTTCAACTGGAAAAGTTTAAGGTGGACTTCACTTTTTAAATTATTGTGTATGTTCAATAATACCTTGAAATGCTGAAGTGCATGAAGGTAGGAGTGAAGTCACTGGAATTCTGCTTCCTTCTGAGATGTAAGATTTGAAAATCAGAAATTACAAACTGATACCCTTTGGAATCAGGTAGACTTGTCTTTGTGATGTTGGTCTAGTTATTCAACTTTTGTGTTGGTATCCTTTCAGAGTTTGATTCCTGGAGATGTTAATACTGTCTGTCTTATGGAATGTTGTAAAATACAAAGAAATGTGGCAAGTCTTGAGTCCAGCACCTGACAGATTATATATTTCAAGTTCTTGTGGGGTCTGCATGTTAGATACTAGGTCACAGAAAATATTGTTTCCCAAATCTCTGAGAATAAGAATTTCTTGTGGTTTTGGTTAAAAATACAATTTTCCTGGCCTCATCCCAGATCTGATGAACCAAAAACTCCAAGGATTGGGAGCTAAGGAACTGTATTTTTAACAAACATTCCTTGTGATTCATATCATTAGAAGAGTTATGGGAGTGCCTGACAAAGATTCAGTGGTTGTATGTTCTAAACTTATAAGCAGATTTCAAAATAAAATAACATAATTTTTTTAAAAGATTTATTTTATTTATATAAGAACCAGGGTACAGGCCAGATGCGTGGGAGGGTGAGCAGATTCACCAGAGACAGAGCGGGGAACAGAAGTTAGACTGACTGAAACACACTGCTGAGGGGAGCAGCGGGCAAGACAGGAGAGGTCTGCCGTGCCATGTGGGATCCTCGCCTGTTGGCTGGGATCGACCCGGTGCTGCAGAGGCTGCAGACAGCTCTACAGCTCTGGGCTCAACCGCCTGCGCCACCAGGGAGGCCCTAAAATAACATCATTGTAATAATTTGATTTTTAGAAGTGTGGAGCCTCATTATGCCCTTATTTAAATTATATAGGTCTGTATTTCAACTAATTTACTCCAAATATTTAAACTTTTAGTCTGTTTCTTTTTCTCTCTAGGTACCACAAAAATGTGAAACTTTATTCTGTTCAGTGAATAAAGATGACACTGCTTTTGGCTTTAGTTGATTTAGTATCAGCAAGCCAAAAACTAAGAATCTTGCAAAGCACTTTGGTAATGTACAACACAGCATAAATGTTTATTATAATAATTATTAACTATTACATTATAGTAACTATGGTCTATACCCACAAGACTTGACTTGTGAGTTAATCAACTAGCTACATTTTAATGTGCTTTTAATAAATCTCTCTAAACTTCACAGAGACAAAAACTTGAAATATTATGCATAAAAAGAGCATAAACATCCCTTCTTGCTTAGACCCAAATTACTGTTTATTCATTATTCCTCTTTTTCAGATGAGCCTCTAGTTAAGTGCACAATTTAGGTTATGTTTTGCATGTGTTCAGATACCTTTGTATTTGGCATCCAGATAGACAATTAACATCTTGGTCAGAGATGATACCGTGGATGGTGATTATTCTCTCCTTATGTTGTATAGGTAGGGACCCAGAGGAAAGAGAAAATAAGGGGAAAATGATGGGTAGGTGCTACATAGCAGTAGCAGCTCCCTCAAATGATTTACTATTGAATAAGGACTATTTACTGAGCTCCTGCTAAGGAGTCCACTGCCTTCTTAATTGCCTGAGCATATTTACTAACTGCTCTGTTTCACTGTTCTATGTGATCAGCTAGAAGCATGGCAATTATTGGTGACTGCTAGATACTTTTCTATTAAAAAGAAAAAGGCTGTTGTTGGTTGCGCTGGCCACAGCTACCATACCGGGGTTGATTCTCTATTTCAGAACTCCCTCTAAGTCTTCTGTTTTGTCTATGATTATCTCACATTAATACGACATGCAAAAAAGCTGATGTTTATTTTGCTCTCACCCACTGTAGCTATTTTGAGATGACCAGGCTTTAAGATTATTAAATCAACTATTAGACACTATCTAGAATCTAGACTTATACTGCCATGTATTTGTTTATAATTTCCTTTCACATTATTCTTTAGTTGTTCCTATTAAAATTTTCTTTTTGCTTTAGCTAATGCCTTTCTAAATGTTCTTCCTATTAATAAACTAAACATGAAGAGGGTAGTCAAATGTTGGACAATTTCTCTTAATTTGACATTCAGAAAAGTGCCATTGATTAAAACTTGTATAATTTTAAAAATTTTGTCAGAACTTGATTTGGGAAAATCTGAAACTGCCAGCCATGTGAAAGTCTGAATATGGTTACTAACAATGATCAATTTATCCTCCCAATGAGTTGAATTAGTATGTATTATTTCAGAGAAATTAGAAAATATAGAGAGTATGCACAGAGTTTGAAATAAAGGATTTTACTTATATTACACATATATTCTATATTATTGTCATGTGTTTTTTAAATATTATCCTTGGGGTGATTCTTTCTTTTTCATTGTTTGCGTTTTGATTAGTAGTTCTCCAAACTAGATTTTATGCATCTGTATATTTTTCCATAAAAATATGAGTGAACATTTATATTTATTATGATTGGCTGCAAATATAAACTGTTTATACAAGGATTAAATAGATGGTTGATGCGGGCAAGAGGTGGATACAGGGAGGCAATGTCTTGGGGAGCCAATAGCTAATCAGGACCGCGGAATTATCCTTCAATTTCATAAGTAAGATGTCTCTGCTTTCCACTTTGATTTTAGTCTATTCTAGGGTATAGATCATATCCTTTACATCAGTATTTCTCAGACTTTAGAATACTTTAGGTTTATCTTGAGAAGCTTGTTTTTAAAATGTAGAATCCCCCCAGCCTAATCCTCAGAGACTCTGACTTAATACATAACCAGCCATCTGTCAGTTTTCACTAACCAACATTTAATTCCAGTTCTCATTTTAATCCTAGTTACCGTTTTTGAGGAACCTCCCTTTGTGCACAGTCTTGAGATGAGTGCCCTGGCCTGGACCTTAAGCACTATCATTTAAAGGCTCTTTTTGTAGAACTTTAAAATCTGAAGCGGTGACACATAACAGAACTAGGGATGGTGACAGTTGTCAGCAGGCAGTCCACACTGCTCCTGCAGGGTGAGTTTTGTTGCAGTTCCAGTCTCTGTTTAATTCAGTGAACCCCTGACATCCTTCCTGTCAGTTCCTTCTTTGTCTAAGGTGGCCTAGGCTTGGTTTCTGTTGTTTGCAATAGAGAAGTATAACCAATACAAAAGATCTATGCTAGCTGTATCTAAGAAGTTATATTTTTAGCAAGTTCTCCAGGTGATTCTGATCCAGGCGGGTCCACACACTACCTCTTGAGAAACACTATTCTGTCTTCAGTGTTTATTTAACTACCGGTATTGTGGTATTCATGTAGAAGACACTTAATACATGCTTACTAGGTGAATGAAAGGGTAACTGGATGGATAAGTGATGAATTCCCTGTAAAATAAGCTAACCTCATGTCTACTAATGCTAGATTTTAAATGTAATATATTGATGTCCCCTGAAGCTTTCTTATTAGGTAGATATGCTGGGTTTATTTCATTATAGTTGGAAAATCACAATGCAGATTAGAAAAGACACAATAAGCAGGAACTAATAAAGAGAAAAAGAAAGAATTCTATGTTAGAATCTTACCAGTATGAAGAATGAGATTTTATCAGGGTGACCATAGGGGTTTTGTTTTGTTTTGTTTTGTTTTCGGATGATGGTATAAATCTTAGAAAACATTTCTATTTCTTTAGTATTTTACATACTAAAGAAAAACAGTAAATCTATGAGGACAGTTAATTAGAATCTCTTTTTTGTGCTTAAGTAGGTTGAAAAGTGCCAATAGCAAAGGGAATTTTTCATTGCTTGGACTTTGGGGGTGATTTCTTCAAACGTTGTAAGAAAGGCCATGCTGAATATTTGTTTAGTAGGACTTTTTTTATTTATGATTTCCTCAGTGTTCTAAGTAGTCCTTGTAAATGTCAGTGAAATATTTTTGTAAGATTTTTTTCACATAAGGGTGGAATGTGCTCTATTACTTATAGGTTCCCAAGAGAAATATGGATAAGTACTTGTGAACCCCCAAATGTTTAAGGTTAGTTGACATTAATATATCTTTGGTTTAGTTTGAACATGGCTCCCCAAAACTGATTGATTTTTCAAATGTTTTAATTTGAGAAACAGTGCAGGTGGTTGGACAGGCACTGGCTTAAGAACTTGGACAAAGTTTGAGTCCTGGTTCTTCAACAAACTTACTGCATTTATTGATTTATTTGCTGTCTTCTATTACTTGGACGTGGATCGTGTTTATTTGCTTTTCTATCCCTACCACCTGTCAATATTTGCTGAATGAAATGTGAATTATTCCTAATCTTAGAAGCTCATAGTCTTTCCGGACTTCAAATTTGTCACTTGTAATGTAGACTCAGTTGTTACCTAGCTTTATTTCTGGTTCAGACAGTCTGTGATTGTATGATCTGTGTATCCTAAAGCCACCTTCCCTAAACAACCTTTCGTATTTGGGGTCATTGAAAAATGGCATTACTGTAATCGCTTTGTTGTAAGTAGCTTTTTCATTTCTGAGTCATTCTTAATGGAAACAGTTTCAGAGAGTATGCAGTATTGCTGTATATTTAATGGAGAACAACTTGGAGGGTTGCCTATTCAAGTCTACTTACTTTTTGAGTTTCTGGCAGAATTCTCTGCTCTGTGAGGATTGCTGAGGTATTTTATGTAGCTTCTTAAAGACATCTTCCATTTCAAGAAGTTTGGTACTTATCTGCTTAGGTTGACTTGGTTAATCTAACCAATTTGTTGGTCAGCTGACCAGTGTTCAGAACAATTCAGGTGATGAAGTGTTGTTCTAGCTGATATTTAAAGTCATTTTGTAGGCCAGGGCATCTCTCCATCCATAATGAGCTACTTACAACATTTCTTTACCCCTTTATAGTAGCAGAGAGTTTTGCTTGAAGAATCATAGAACCATAAGGGCTGGCATCATAATGTCCACATTCTAGATAGTTTAGTAGGAAGAATTTGAAGTTTGTTGAGGGAGAACTCAGTGGCTGCCCAAATGTATGAGGTGGGAAGAGAAGTTTAATTAGGCCAGACCTCGAGTTCTTCTCATTCTAGATTAAACCATTTCAACCAAAAGCAAACCTGATTTTGTCCATTTTACACATTAATTTTAATAAGTTATTAAAAGCTTTTTCTTCTCTTAATAAAATTTTGACATACCAATCTAATCCAACTCACCACTGACAGATAAAGAGTTTGAAGAGGTTGAGTGATTTCCTCTTCAGAGAGGTCACTGAAAGAATTCTAGATTGACTCCTAATAAATTTTCAGGAAAAGAGAAATAACATAAGTAGGCCTGGAAATATAGGTAGAAAAGCCTGCAGGAGTACAATGTTTACCTTTCATAATTTACAAATTTACATATTATTTGATCTTTCCAACAGTCTTGTGAAGCAAATAATGCAACCCCAACTGTAGATGAGAAAACTGACACTGGGTAAAGTCAAGTAGCATGTACCAGGCACTAAGTGTTAGAGCCTGGAATCGAGATTTAGTCTTCTGACCTTGAACCTAGTGATTTTTGTGTTACACCACACTGCAGACTAAAGAAAGGAACATGACAAATTAATGTGTCAACATGCTTTAGAAACTTAAGTCTACAGTGGATAAAACTCATACACTTTTTGGTACCAGACGGTGTGATTTGGCAATTGTATGCATTTCCCCAAAGTCATCATGAACTGCCATTGCTCATGGTATGAATCATGCACATTGTTCCTGGGGAACAGTTGAACATACTTTTCCATGTGCTATTTCCAACACCAATTTGCTAATTATGTAGACAAAATTGTCTTATTAGGTCATAAGGAAACCTGCCACTCAGTTTTGCCAAGTTTTTGCTCTGCTGATTAAAAATCTTTTGGTATTCTTTATACAAATCTTTTTAGATAAAATGTTTAATGTGCACTTGAAAAAGTTTTTCTGTGTTAAAGTCTAAGTTTTCTTTCATTTTTTTTCTCTTCATGCCCTCAATGTTTATCTACCTCACTAATAATTATTCATTATTAAAAATGTAAACTGTATCCCAAGGTAAAAATAAAACTTAAAGAGAAATGAACGTATATATACGTTTAGAACTTGGGACTCAATAAATAATAACAAATAGGAACATTTTCAATGAGATTCTGAAAATGAGGAGTTACTTGAAAAGAAAATCTGGGATTTCTAGGGAAAGACTGTGTGGTACTTTTTGATGTCATGTAATATAACAGTAGTTTGAGGTTGAGGTTAAAAATCACATTTGGGGCCCCCCTGGTGGCGCAGCGGTTGAGTGTTGGGCTGCGAAGCTGCCCACAGCCTCTGCAGTGCCGGTTTGATCCCCGGCCACCAGAGAAGTGTCCCACATGTTGCAGACCTCTCCTGCCGCCCACTGCTCCCCTCAGCAGTGTATTTCGTCAGTCTGCCTGTTCTGTTCCCCGCTCTGGCTCTGGTGAATTCTCTCACCCTCCCGCGCTTCTGACTGTACCCAGTGCTTGCATAAATAAATAAATAAATCTTTAAAAAAAAAAATCACATTTGTCTAGGGCCTCCCCTGGTGGCGCAGGCGGTTGAACATGGTGCTATGAGACTGTTCGCAGCCTCTGCAGTGCAGGTTCGATCCCGGCGGGCCAGCGAGGGTCCCACATGGCGCGGCAGACCTCTCCTGTCTCGCCTGCTGCTCGTTCCCTCAGCAGTGTACTTCGTCAGTCTGCCTGTTCTGCTCCCCACTCTAGCTGTGGTGAATCCTCTCACCCTTCCACAAATCTGACCTGTACCCTGGTTCTTGTATAAATAAATAAATAAATCTTTTTAAAAAATCACATTTGTCTAGTTCACCTTTCTTGTCACTCTGGGAAAAGGTTGTGTGGCACTTAAAGGTATTCAGATAATGAGCCATGTAAAGTGCAAGGAAACAGTTTAGACTTATATCGTAGAACAAAATCCAGAAACTTAATTAAGTTATCATGGGAAAATATAAGCACATTATTTGCAAAATTGTTACTCTACTTATTAACTAGGGCTAATTGACAAGTTCCCTCTTCTTAAAGAAGTCATTTAGTTATCTTTGGCTTCTAAGGTCCAGATATAAATACATAATGTTAGGGTGAGGAGTAGAAAATGCAGATCTTAGAGATAAAGTCAGATCCTTTTCTTGACACTTCCTAAGAGTGGGCAATATATGATTACCTTAATAGATCCTCTGTCTCTTAGGATTAGGTACAGATAAGAAAGATTGAGAGCCGATCAACAATGACTTAAACAAGATATAAATTCATTTCTCCTTTATATAAATGGAGTCTGGAAGTAAACAGCCCCGTGTTGGTGAGGCAAATCCACAGTCATCAAGGATGTGGAATCTTTTCCCTGTTGCTTTTCCACCCTCAGCACATGGTTTTAGGCTAATGGCCCAGAGTCATTGCTGGAGCTCCAGTTTTCATGTTATATTTTCAGTCCAAATGAAGCAGATTGAGATGGAGAAAGCTACATGATCTCTTTAAGACATCATCCAGGAAACTTCAAAGGACAATTCTGTTAATGTCTCCCTGATTAAAATTTAGTCATATGGACATATCTAACGACAAGAAAAGCTTTTCTTTTTTGAGTGGCTGTAACTCCAGCTAAAGTCAAATTGCCATCACCAAGTAAGAACGGGGTTTGGATTGCGTCTGACATGCAGGGTTCTCTCTTCACCACCACGTTGGTTAGCACATGCCATCCACTTAAGTTTATGCTGACTTTGTTTGAAACCCCTTTATTTTCCTAATCTGGACTCAAGTATTAAAAAAAAATAGCTGTTGCTTTTGTTCCAGTAAAGAGAGTTGTACTTGGGGGTTCATTCCCTCCCCTAAATTTTTGAGAAATGTCTTAAAATGCTCAGTACTAATTGCAGGTGTTCCTTGTGGAGCTCCAAAAGAAATGAAACTCAGAATAAAACTCTGTCACCATCCCTAGACCCCTAAATATGCAAAACTAAATTGGCATATGGGCCAAATAACCATATTCTAATCTGGCACGAACCTAATCTGGCATGAACAAGGAAAGCATCTCCAAATATCCTGCAACTTGTTTTCTAGCACAGATCATGGGAATAATAGTGGTGGAAGTCAGAAAGAATTTGAATAAACTCAGTTTTCATTTCAAAAAATTCATGGGGGAGTCAACATCAATATGCCATAGTTTAAAATGCTGGAGCAAGAGCTCAGGGTATAAAGATAACTGTATTTTAAAATTTGTTTAATCATGTAAAAATGTGTTACATGAATCAGAGAGTATTGCAATTATCTCAATGAATTTATTTAGACTATCAACACTTTAGACTACTAACAAATTACCAGGTAATTTCCCTGGTCTATTGTTAGTTCCAGAGTAATCATCATTTTTAGCCAAATATTTATTCTGCCTCTACTGTGTTCCAGGCACTGTGCAAATTGCTGAATAAAACAATCTTTGCCCTCAAGGAGTTCCAAGTTTGGTAATGACAGGCTGCTTATAGGTTTTGGCTTTATGAAAAATAGTACTATCATACTCTGTAATTTCAGAGCCGGGAAAAAGGGATTGAGAGACATGGTTGGTTCGCCATGGACAAAGTGAAAAGGACACAAGCGTCGGACTCAAAACATCCATTTGAAGCTCACCCTATAGCTACCCGCGTCCTTAAGCAGATGAATCGTGATCAGATTGCTTCATTTCACTTCCCTAGTTTGAAAATTATTCCTCTTAAAGTAATGCCTGTCAGGACTGTTCTGAGGATTAAATATGATGTAAATTTTGGCCTTGGCATTTAGAAGTCATTCAAAAACTTGTTGTAATTGTTATAATGATTATTAATTAATGAACTTTTTCCGGAGAGAGGTGGTTCTACAAAATGCTTTGGAGGGTGCGTATGAAATTATTTATATGTTCATATATGTATAAATACATTTACATATGCATACATACATTTGCAGATGTATACATGTACAAAAACACACATATGTCTTGTTACAGTTCACATATTCTTCTCAGCACTTTATTCAATAACACAGATGTTTTCAAGCACTGCAACCATTGTTCAAGGTGATTATCATTTTACAGATGAGGAAACTGAAGCAAAGAAAGTGTAAGTAACTTGGCAAAGTTATACAAATAAATAGAAAAGTTGGGCTATGAACCCAACCACTAAGTCTCCAGAGTCTGTGCTTTCGCTATTACATTGTAGCACAACAAATAGCTTAATTCTTTAATCCATGAATCAGTCCCTGTGTTTGAGAAGGCCCCACATTTCACAAACACAAGAAATAAATTTATTAAAAAGCACATGGACCCTTTTGTCACACTCAGTCTGGTGCTCAGCATTACTACAATGTGTCTTTAAACATTCATTTTCAAGCTTAATAACATTCAGTTCCCAGAGAAATGCTGTTTTATATCTCTTGTCCTCTATTTTTTTGCATCTTTTAAATGAAAAGGCAGTAGTGTCTAAATGCTGTGAATTCTCACTCCACCAAATTTGGAGATGAAGACCAGCAATTTGGGTGAATTTGAAGAGTAGAAACATCAATGTAGGAGAAAAACCTAACTTTTTAGATCCTTCGTCACAGACAATATGACTATGAGTTTTTTTTGCATAGTGCAGTGTCATTTTCCAGTGAATAGTGTTTGATTTTCTTGTTTTTCTTTATATTTTAATGTGTGTTTCCAGAAGTACTCATGAACTACTACATTTTTGCAAAATGTCAATTGAACAGGGTGGCTGAGAGACATTTTGCAATATAAGACAATTCATAATTCTTGAATGTGTGTATATGTAGGCTAGACAAAGCATACATGAAACATGATATCAATTCTTCACTTTGCTCACTAAGTGGCCAATGGCAGAACTGGGAATAGTTTTATTTTTAATAAAATATTTAAATAGATGCAAATAAATTTTCAAAAGTTT